AATTTATATAATTTTATATATCAACAAACCGTATTTAGAAAAATCTGACAAAATGATGGAAACACGTCTAAAAAAATTTTCAGTACATATATATGTACATATATATTTTCTAAATATATATGTACATATATATATGTATGTATATATATGTACATATATATGGATGTATGTATGTATATATATATATATATATAAACACATATATATACATACATATAATGTGTGCATGTGCATATAAAATATATATTCACATGACTAAAGTATGTATATACATATGTGCATGCCTACATGCACACATATATGTATACACAAATATATAAATATATATTTCATACATATATATATATTTCATATTTATTATGTTTTTGATTTTTTATGTCTATATATATATATATATATATATATATATATATATATATATATGCATACATTGTGTATATATGCATATGTAAATATGCATGTTTTTCATATGACTATATATATATATATATATATATGTGTGTGTGTGTGTGCATATATATATGTATACAAAACACATATATAACAATTTTGTTAGGTGTAATATGATGGACCTCATCTTTTATATATATATATATATATATATATATATATATATATATATATATATATATATATATATGATATATTTTGTATGTATATTTTATGTTTTATATACATACATATCAATTATACATAAATGACGTAGTGCCTGATTCGTATTATATATATATATATATATATATATATATATATATATATATATATATATATATATATATATATATATATATATAACTATACTGTCTCGAAAAATCTGAATTTTTGATTTGCCAATAATCAAATCAATCTATATATATATATATGTGTGTGTGTGTTTTATGTGTTTCATATATATATATGTGTGTATATGTACGTGTAGGGGATGTAAAACGAACATTAATTTTATCTGTATGATTTTAAATCGAGACTAGTGTTTTTAGTTTAGTGAAAATAGAAATTATCTATCTGTATTTGCTTTCAAAGATCGGGCGTTTTCACGAGATTTAACAACGAAGACGCAGACATTGGTATGATAAGCTTCTGATCTTACTCAGTTCGGCCAATCTGCAAGTCGGAGGTGTTTTGCACAAATTTATAATTTCTTTTTACGTCAATTTTTTCCCCAGTTTTGCAAATATTTACACTGTTTAAGTGCAACGCCACAGATGAAAGGACACTGTCATTTTTTTCCAGATCTGATCACATGGAACAACTACGGCTTTCATATATCCATTTTGTTGTGTGTTTCTGCATCAGTCATATTAACACGAAGCCGAAAACCAAAGTAGATGGAAATTAAATTAACTATGGCCACTTATGAACGAAAGGGGCTCTTCACTCTTTATCAACATCATTTCACTCTTCATAATATCATATATATATATATATATATATATATATATATATATATATATATATATATATTGATGATTAAAAAATTGAATAATAATAATCATTAAAATATATACAATCATAATCAGTACAATATACCGTCCTCTTTCCTTTGTTCTTTTTTTCCGTCACGGCTATTATTATTATTATTATTATTATTATTATTATTATTATTATTATTATTATAAATTGTTATCAATTACTGCAGCATATATATATATATATATATATATATATATACACAATAGTACGGATTCAATAGATTCAATAGGTATGCAGTCACACATATAGACAAACATACCCATATGCATACAAAAGTTTATATACCCATAATTATTTAATGCATATTTTTACGCGTGTCTTTGAAAATATATATTTATGTTTATACATCAAATCGTTGAGGTGGTCTGTAAGTGAACCCTTACAGAGTGTGCGTGCATATTTATATATATATATATATATATATATATATATATATATATATATATATATATATATATATATATGATACATTTAAGCTGAAATGGTCCCTTGTTTTATTGAATTCATGTGATTAATATCCACGACTAAATAAAATACATTGTCAATGAAGAAACTTATTTTTGAAAATTGATATGTGTATTACATATTAATTATTACATCTCTCTCTTTCTCACACTGTCTTTCTCTCTCTCTGTCTTTCTCTCTCTTGATATATATACGTATTTTAGTTGTCGACCGTTGGTATTTTTTAGCTGGCTACCGTAGATCGTTGCTAATTAAACCTGTTTTTCCTAATATTCAATCAGTGTAATGAATTCACTCTTCTTTCACGTAGCACTTATTTTTTGCGGCCTTGTGTACAACTAAGCTAAACTCAGTAAATCTCACTTATCAGATATATATATATATATATATATATATATATATATATATATATATATATGAGTGTGTATAGCATAAAGGCCTTCGTCGTAGCTTTCCAAAGAGTTTTCTGCGTGAAATATTAGATGTGTGTAAAATGTCCTGTGTTTCATAATAAAAATGTGATTGGGTAACGTTGGATATGCATTCAATGGTATGGTAAATAAAATGAATTTTAATAAAATTTTGAAATTTTTACCTTGACATGATCATCGGCGAAAGATGTGAATGCAATTTTCTTATATATACACAATAAAAATCTGTTGTGTACTCAATCACAAATCTCATATCTTCAATTTCTTTAAAAATTAAGACCCATAGGATTTTTTTCACACTCCTTATGCATTTTATGTATATGCATCACTCTTTGCTTTCTTAATAAAGTTTGATTTTTGCTAATTATTCCACCGCTTCGACCTTGTGCCAAACTAAACGAATCTGAAGCAAATAACTATCAATTTGTACTCGAGTATCTACATATTTGTCTATATTTATAAAGATGTATAAATGTCTGTCTGTCAACTACGTATTTCCGTGTCTTTGTAAAACTTGTAATTTCGGGATATCAAGACTAAATAAATCTTTACAGAAACTGCTTACTGAACAATAATTCGGAACTTGTGTTTTAAACATCTTCACTTTTCAGTATCTACCCTTTCTTTGTCGTTGTCTATTATAGCATTTTTCTACATTTGCCAAGAAATACAAATCGTCAATGTGAAGTTCCCAGTTCATTGATAGATATAGACTATGTTCATGACAGACATTTTAATGCATCCTTTTTACTCATACGGAAGTTTTCATTGATAAGGACAATCAGTAAGTAAAATAAGTAATCTTAAGTGGAAATATAAGCAATGATAAGTGTCGAAGGAACACTCAGAGTTGAGATACTTGGGTCGGTCGGTCTGTCTGTCTGTCTGTCGGACAGTCGGTAGGATTGTTAAGAAGTGACTTCTTTTGTGTTATACACATAATGATAATGGAGGTTTTGTTGTTTACGTTTTAACATGTTTAATTGAATATTCGTGGGATATTTTAAACTTACCGTTTTTTATTCTCTGATATTTATTTCTAGGTATATCCAAGGATGTCTCCGGAGAATGTTGATCGAGTTCTAAGGAATTCTCGCCGTGTAGTCTTTTTGTTGTTATATTATAATCAGTACAATACATCGTCCAAATTTCTTTATTGTTTATCCGCAAAAGTGCTGTTGTTTTTTTTTTATCCTTTTTTATTATTATTTCGCAATAGCGTATCGATATTATTGTAATCGTTTCCAATGGATTCCACTTTTATTTCAGTTGTGAATACATCCAATTTATTACTTGGATTATACCTATTGTATTAATTTTCTATTAGTATTTTCAATTGTTTTATCTTATGTGTACCAGATATAGACTATTGAAATATAAACTTAGATATGCATCTATATTGATATATATATATCCGCACAATCAGGTATTTATAATAATTGTGTTGGTGCATCATGTGTAGTTGTTCAATTGGGGGAGATTTATAAAAAAATGCTTTAATTATTTAAGTTGTATTCTTTGAAGTAGAAGATGTTATCCGTTTTATGAAGGCAGAGTCACTGATGTTGGTTAATTTTATAAACCGATGTTTGTATTTTGCTGGTTAGTGTCAAACGATTTATTTTTCATCCCGTCTCGCTTTCTTTATATTAATTTTTCTCTTTCAGGATTTTCAGGTATTTCTTTTTTCGCCAGGGTATCCCTACTTAGTCACATGAAAACTTCATATACGGACCCAAATACAAATAATTGTATTTATCCTGAGAGGAATTCATTTGAAGAAAGATACAAAAGATTGATTTCTTTTTTTAGTATTATTATCGCTACTGTTGTTGCTATTGTTTTTCTATGCTTTATATTCGAAATCTATAAGACTGAAGAGAAGTTTGTCAAAAATCAAATGAGCTGAAAAATAAACACAATCTTAGAAATTGTGATCGTTTTGGGTTGCATATGTGTTCGCTGGTTATTTTAATATATATTGGAAGGTTCATGCACAAAGAGCATTGTTCCAATCCCCGGATATTACAGTTAATACTTTATAAAGCTATTAAGAATTCTTAATTCTTACCTCGACAAGATAACCAATTAGACAGCCGTAAAAGTACGAGTTATAGTCGTTTATCGTTTTTTTTTCTTATACAAATATATATAGTTTTTGTTGTTGCTCAGATAGTTGTTTTATATTATTTTGTTTAAGCTTATATAATTCATTCTCTTGCTAATATAAAAATATAGTGAAAAGCAAGATTTAATTTTAATTTCTTATCTAATTTATCTCATACAGGATGTTCTCAAAGAGTTCACATCAACATCACTGGTGATGTCAAATAGTCTCGTTCCATTGAAGGAGTTCCGTGTTAATCCATTGTTATCAAGAGGAAACTAAAAAATGATAATCTAACTTAAAAATGTTGTCTAGTCTCTATCACTGTCGGTGTTGATGTTATCAGGACCTTAGTAGTTGTGTTTTTTGTTTGTTTTCTTTTCAGTAGCAGTAAAATTAAGAAACATGCTTGCGACCGGGGGTTGTCCTTTGCTTATCAAAAGGAAGAATAATTTACCTCATCGAAGCCTGAAATTTTGGTCGATTGGACCAATGGGAGCGGCTCAGATGAATCCGACGACGCCATGAGAACGCGGGTTCGAGGCAAAGAAGAAAGACGGAGAAGAAACAGAGTGATACGAAAAGCGACAGGAAGTGCTTCTTCTCTCTATCTTTATGACTTCCTCTCTCTCTCTCTCTATCTTTCTTTTTCCCCTCCCTCTCTGTCTCATTTAACTTTACTCTCTTCCCTGTCGCCTGTAGCCTACTCTAATATATTTTCGTCTCTCTCTTTCTGTTCGTTGCTCTTGCAACTTGGGGAGAGACCACTCGAATCTTTTGAGTAAGACTCTGGTCATGGCGTGCGGCAAACTTGCCAAGGGTCCGTAGCAGGGCACTGTTACCAGTAACGAAATAATGAATATAACAGTTGAATAGATTAGTTGCATACAAACACACACAGACACACACACGCAGACACAGACACAGACACACACACACACGCACACACATACGTATGTATAATGACGATAATGACAAAGAGATTGATAAGCCAACGGATTGTGGGAACTTGAAATACTGTGTGTGCATATCTACGGTTTCTTATATATATATATATATATATATATATATATATATATATATATATATATATGTAGAGGCGTACACATATACATTATTTTTTTATCTATCTATCTATCTATCTATCTATCTATCTATCTATCTATCTATCTATCCTTATCGATACATATTCCATATAGACAGCTAGTAGTGTACCGATGGTTAGTCAGCTAGCGAAGTGAGTTCGATCTTAAATAGGTACCTTAAATCTTGTCTTATATACGTTTTTTCTAATATAATACAAAGATTATATTAGAAAAAAAGTATATAAGACAAGATGTATATATTAAAATGGCTAAAAATAATAGAAGCATTAATAATAATTAAAAAGAAAAAGCCAACACTTAATAATATCAACTACGAACACGGCAACAAAGCGCTGACCGTGTTTTGGAAAATAAAAACAAATTCTCATCACTATAGATGCACATGAAAATCTAGATATTCAGTTAAAAAAAAAACCCTTGATAATAGAGGAGTCGAAAGCGCTTGGATACACAGAACATTTGTACAATTTTTGCAAAATTTATGCCCAGAAAAGAAAATACTTGTGCGAATGCAAGAAAAATTGAATGCAAAGCTTATATGCCTAATATATACCTCATATATAATATATACTATATATATATATATATATATATATATATATATATATATATATATATATATATATATATATATACATGGTATATTTAAAAAAAAATTAAACCTTGCACAAAGGAAAGGTAACTAGAAAGATAAATGGAATATAAAAAAATTAGAAGTAACTCTCAGTTAATTAAAAACGTCGAATTTCTATGCATGTTTAAAGTTGTAGACGCACGCACATAGTCACACACAAATATTTATATAGGCATACATGCACACACACACACGCATATATATATATATATAGATATAGATATATATGCTTAAGCATACATACAGGCATATATATAATTTGTTTTGATACACAAAATGTATATGATTTTGTTTATATATAAAAATGTAAGTATTCAGTTCTTCACGAGAGTAAATTGGATTTACGTTAAGATTTTATGTTGGCTAATTTTATGCAAAATTTGTCCAGTTCCCTTGACTTTGTCCTTGGCATGTCACAGGCATCATGGCATCTGTTGAATATGAATTAACTTTTAGATGCATCTAAGGGGAAAACAAAACCACTCTAACACTTTTTTGGAGGTGGCGGCGATGATCCTGATGATAACCGCAACCATAACTTTCATTAGGAACATATACATGCATGTATTGTACATATATATGTGCGTGTGTATATGTGTATACACTTAATTATGCTAACACAAATACTTTACACACACACACACACACACACACACACACACACACACACACACACACACACACACACACACATATATATATATATGAGAGAGAGAGAGAGAGAGAGTGTGTGTGTGTGTGTGTGTAGAAGGTTGAATGGCGTGAGTACTTTGCTGTTTATTTAGTTTCATCTGAAATTTTGAGGAGTGGAATAATTCGGAGTTATAGTTCCGTTTTTGTAAAATCTTATAGCCTGTGTATATCGTTTTGTGTATATGCTGAACTATTTACAAAATAATACTAAACCATTCCATTCCCACAAAATTCTGATGAAGCTTAATCAAAAAGTGAAACATGTCGAATTTATAAAGGTTTCTTACTTGTCACTTATCCAAACATTCTGTAGAATTTAATCAATATTTTCAGCTCATAGCTATTTTCATAATAGCACAAAAGCATTATATATATATATATATATATATATATATATAAAAGTGAATTGAAGTCAACACTTAGAGCACTTTATCCCATAAATATAGCACACCTTAAAACTTTATATATATATATATATATATATATATATATAGAGAGAGAGAGAGAGAGAGAGTGTTTATTTATGGGATAAAGTGCTTAATATCAGAGATAGAGCGTATGTAAATATAAAAGTGAACATTGAAGTCAACACTCAGAGGCGACATATATATATATATATATATATATATATATATATATATATATATATATATATATATATATATATATGTTTAATATATATATATATATATATCATCTACAGACTGCTTGCTGTATCACAGCTCATCAGAGTGGCTAGACATCCGATTGCTTAAAGCCGGATATATATATATATATATATATATATATATATATATATATATATATATATATATATGTGTGTGTGTGTGTGTGTGTGTGTGTAAGAGAAGAGAGAGGGATATAGTACAAGATTGGGTGACAAGAATAGCAAGAAAGTACACTAGATAATTTTTTAATGACTAAGAGATTTTATTTTTGTTCAAGTGTATGTGCTTTATTGTATGTCTCTGTAGTGCTACACAGGTAAGGTAATTGCATGAACTTACTCTCTCTCTCTTTCTGTCTTTCGCTCTTGAGTGTGTGTTTGTGAGTGTGTACGTGTGCGAGTGTGCACGCGAGAGTGACAGAGACACAATGATAGGGAACTTTTAAGACGCCAGTTTAAAAGAAATCGACAACAACGAAAACAAAAAAGTTAGGGTCCATAAGAACGAAATTGAGAAGACAGAACAAACAGCTAAAGATAAAGGTTTCAAGTGGGTGAACGAGATAAATTGCGGTGGGTAAAACACACACACACACACACACACACACACACACACACACACACACACACACACACACACACACACACACACACACACACGCACACACACACACAAACGCACACCTACTCAAATGAGTGTGAGTTTATGTGTGTGACTACATATGTATATGTGCGTATGGTTATAAGACGTACGTACACTGTGCAACCAAAACGTTTGGGTCCACCCTCTGGATTTAATAATTAGCAAGTTTCATGCCTTCTTTGGCTTAATTAACTCCTACCGAGCCAGGATGCTGAAATTATTTAACCCATTAATGGCTATCGTTAAACTTTTTAGAGGAGGTGTCTACTTAAAATTTAAAATCCGACAACTCTAAGATTACCATTAACCAACAAGTTAGATTTTGCAAAAAGAGCTAAAATTTTAAGGAAACTTTATACAGTAATGGCTTTATTTCGCTATTATTATTATTATTGAATATACGGTAAAAACCTTCAGAAAGAGAAAATCTCTCTGCCCCGAAATGAGATTGTAAATTACTTTGAAAAAAGGCGAAATCCAGGAAGCAACAAATAATATATATATATATATATATATATATATATATATATATATATATATATATATATATATAGATAGATAGATAGATAGATAGATAAACAATATGACGATGTGATGATCGCTTAAGGCGTGAAACGTCTAGTCATAATGAGGTATTGGTTTTATGTTCACAATGTTTATATTTACATACGATCTATCTATATTTCATACCTTTTTCATGTAATATATATGTATATGTGCATCTCCCTCTCTCTCTTTCTCTACACACACACACGCACACACACACCACACATATATGTATGCATATATATGTATATGTGTGTGTGTGTGTGTGTGTGTGTGTGTGTGTATGTGTCGGTGTGTGTGTGTGTGTGCGTTAAAGAGGATAAATTAATACTGTAAGTCCATTTTTTAATATTTCTTAACCTGTTGTATATCTAAAAAAATTGTGAGATATTTCAAATACCATTAAAAGCACTATTCAGAATTATTGAATCTGACACAAAGTTTACAGATAAAATAATGTCATTTACAAATGATTGTATTACATTAAGACCCCCAAAAATAGGATATTTTTTTTTAGGAATTTTGGATATTCTTGGGAAATAATTAATTGTAAATGTGAAAATTTGAATTTAATTTGGACAGAGAATAAAACATAAGAACAGATATATTTATTAAAAATAGGGGAAAATAGACCGGAGAAAAAAATACAATACCCATAAATGCCAACTAGAAAAAGAAAAAAATATATTATGAAATCTGACCGGTTCTCGTTCCTCTCTCGTCAGAGCTCGATCGAGGAAAAATAAAATATCTAAGCATTCTTACTAAGAAAATATTAATTTTTCTTGTTCATTTTCATCTTTTTTAATAAATATATCTGATTTTAATCAATCTATGAGCGGTTCAAAACTTACAATACATAAATTTATATCATAGTAAAATAATTTAAATATTGATTGCATAACAACATCATTTACTCACTTTCGTTTATTTGATATTAAATTATGTCACTTAACATCTTCCATAATTTACCGAGATTTTTCAGTTAACCTGATGAATATTTATGAGCGTCTCTTAAATTTGAAAATACTAAAAAAGCCATCAACATTTTTACTTTTGTTAATAAATACTTGTTGCAAAATAAAATCCCCACATTTGTCTTGATAAAGTTCGTTACTGAAGGAAACGCGTCGGCTAAGAGTAAGTTATAAGTTTTCCTTTTGTCTTTATTCACATTGTCCTTTTACATATATGTCCTTTTACAGATATATTGTAGCTATATCTGAAGAAGTTATATATATATATATATATATATATATATATATATATATATATATATATATTATACACACGTATATATTTACACACACATATATTTTCTACTGTTGTTTAAGCAGTGCACATTTATACACGCTTGACATCGAGAACCTCTGGAGAATGAGGATTGAAACGATATATCTATATATAGTTTTGTGCTTATTGTTAAAATTAAAATGACTTTAGTTTATCACCCTTGCTCTTTCCCCCTTGTTTTTGGATGTTTACATTTTTTTAATATTTGTGATGGTGTATTGTTTTATGCATATTTTAACATGTTATTGTTTACAGCAATAATATCTGGTTTTATGACATTACTTCTGTATCTAAAAGGAATTCTTTATTATATTTGCCATTTTATAAAATTTAAGTTCATTTCACAAGAGCAGGCTTTAAAAAAAAGGAATTTTTGTACAAAGAAAAGGAATTTTCATATTTTTATCATATATTTATTGTCCAGTTTGATCATTTAGTTCTTAGTTTCCAAAGAAGTCTTTTTACAATTAAATACAATATTTACAATTATTAAGATTGACACAAAATTAATCTACTTTTGGTTAACCAAATTCATATGACGAAATTCGATCATTCAGCCATTTCTTTATTCTGCCATGTTTCTTTCTCTTAGAATGTAGTCCTGGCTATGACGATAAATTACAGCCGCAGCAAAACCTCTAATCGGAAGATTGGAAGTTATGAGGAGCGTAGAACCACCTTTTAATTGCTGTTGTTCCCAGGTTCAACCTGATCCAGGATGGTATCACCTGTTAGGGCCCCAGGTAAATAGTGAACTCCCAAACAAAAACAAAGCACTATGAAAGTATAAAAATACTTTTTTTAAAGTAAAAATACAAGCATTACATTTTTATATAAAAAACATTACCGACAACACCTATTTGGTGTAAAATTATCAACAATACCTATTTATAGTAAAATTATCAACAACACATTTTATGGCAAAATGACCAACAATACATTTTACCAATAGCTAAAGGCATACCATTGCGTTCAAAGTATATTTACTTGAAGCAATAAAATTGTGTTCAAAATATTTAGAATTCGCCATTAAATAACACAGAGGTTGACATTGCGCTAAACAAAAATCAACCAAGCAAATCAAAACATTTAATCAGAAAGAAAATATTTTGTTAAAAATTCCACGATTGGAGAAAATTGAAAGCACAATATCCATATATATATATATATATATATATATATATATATATATATATATATATATATATATATATATATGTGTGTGTGTGTGTGTGTGTGTGTGTATTTATCTATATATATAACTGCTTAAACATGTTAAAGTAGAGCTTTTAAGAAATGTATCAGCACCCAAAGGAACATAGGAATAGATGTCTAGATCATGATTTTGTGATAAATATAAGGAAAGCTATATCGAAAACTGTTATTTGGTGTCCAGCATATGATAACAAAAATGGGTACTGATTAATTTAACATATGAAAGGAAATGTGTAAGTTTTAAATTTTCCCATGTGAAACATTTTCTTAAATTTTGCAGATTTAAATTGTTTTTTTTTTATTATTTGGGAACTTACACTAAAAATGAGAAAATATTCACGGTAATTATTTTTTTTTTAACTTTATGCAATGTTGTGGGGTCAGTGACAAATGGATGAAATATGGGCACAAACTCATTAATTTGACTGTAATATTTGTCGTAAGACCTCAAAATCCATTCGATATAGGTCATTTTAAAAAAGAGTGTCAACTAACACCTGTTACTTATAGCATTCATTTCAACCATGTTTTAATGACTTTCCTAGAGAAAAGAGTCAAAAAAGCAACTATCCAGTATTGATCATCTAAAGTAAATTATCAAACATATATTGATTGATTCGCTTTCTACGGCTTATCAACTCTTTGCAGGTTATTTAAAGACAGAAAATATTTTTTAGATTGTAAGAATTTTTTTTAGATAATAATGATTTAGTGATGCAAATCTTACTAATTAACTCATATGTAGGGGAGAAGAGGTAAATTCATATCTTTCCCATGTATATTTATCCGTAAATGAATATAACGAACCCAACTGGAATTGGAACTTAGCTCTCAATTCCAAGCCTTTATCAATTACATCACCCGCGCGTCCAAACTTACAGCACCTGGTATTCCTAAGCCGTCACCCATCTCGGTACAGATCAGGCTTGATCTTAACTTGCTTAACTTCGGTGATCGTACGAAATTCGGTCTTTCAACATGATATGGCCGTAAGTCAAATCATAAACCATGTACGGATTTTGATTAAATTCAGTCATGACTTGACAAATGCTTGGAGTTGGGACAAAGAACAGTTCTTAATCCTGAAGCTATTTACTTTCAGATTTGAGTACATATTACACGGAAAATGTTCCCAAAATACCAAATGCCAGCTTGCGAGCCCACTGTATATCTGCAAGAAGATACGAATAAAAGAGTAAAAGTGCTCGGATAGTTCAGAATTCGGTGTTAAATTTGAGTTACTTCATAACTAGTAAAAATGAAATATGAATACAATATGGAAAGGTTTTATATGCTGATATTCAAGATAAGAATGCACTTGGTTTTTTAGAGATTATCTTAGCATAAGCTTTATACTCCTATATCCTCAATTCGGATTTGTGTCATATATCATTTTTGTCTGGCAGAGAAAGAGATTAGTGATGTGCAAAACAAAGGAACTTTTAATTCACTACTTTAGTCCTGGGTATGACGATAAACTACATCTGTAGCAAGGCTTCGGATCAGGAGAACCACCTCTTAATTGCTATTGTTCCCAGGTCTACATAACATGGTTTTCAGGCACTTCCAATTTAAATATCTGGGAAGTGATTTAACAGAGGACGGAAAGTGCGACGCTGAAATACGAAGGCGCACTGTGGTAGCGAAAGATGTCTTCCAAAAGCTAATCGAAATATTAAGAAACTGGAAAATGTTGTTAGAAATAAAGAAAAGAGTGCTGAACTGTTACCCAATATCAGTCTTCCTACGTGGTAATGAGTGCTGGACAATTTCATCAGGAATGAAGAAGGAACTTGAGGTGATAGAAATGTTGCTGAGAATAAAATGAACCTAACATGTGAGCAACGAAGATGATTTAAAGAAAATGAAAACAAAAAGGACACTTATAGTTAGAATCAGAAAGAGATAGTTGAAATGTATAGGACACATAATGAGGAAAGAATGCTTGGAAAATTTAACACTGACAGGACATATTGAAGGCAAGAGGTACAGGAGAAAGCAGCGCACAGCCTACTTAAGGCTTGTGTAAATGGATGACAGAACAGGATGTAGGAGAGATAATAAAAAGACAAATTTTATTAAGAGCTGCAAGGGACAGGAAATAGTGGAGGGCTATGGTCTGAAGGTAGACAGTACATAGAAGGAGTTAGAATTGAATTTTTTAGATTAATGAATGATACCCTTCGTTCAGTCCTGGTTTTACTTAGCTAAGCTTATTCAGGTAGAAGGTCACAATTGTGCTGTTCTTGTCAGAATCTTGTCAGGTTAGTATATGATAGCTATCACGCCATGTAGAGTGACATAAGCTTTTTACCAATTAGTCAGAATTGAATTACCTTTTCAAGTGATAAAAGGTTCAGGAAGCCTCATTCAAATATGAAAACATGAGCTTATGTATTAAATGGTATTTTAGTTTGAATTCCATCCGAGTTCGTTGCATTCACTTACGTTAAATACATTTGGGAAAATCATGTATTCAATTCTTCTCCCATATTCAAGCTTTGGGGAAATATCAAGATAGATTGGGCCATATAGCCTTAGTTGGCCACCAGTCTAGGAAAAGGAACAACTCTGAATTAAAAAGCTGATGAGTGTCGTTTGGAGACTTTGTAGTACACTATGTGCATTAGTTCTGTGTATTCGGCTCTTCCGAAAAGTGTGGTTTGTTCAGCACAAGCCATCGCCACTATAATCAAATCATATGTTCGAATATTCTGGCTGTTCGATTCTAAGAACTGGGCTGCTGTACCTTCATACGTCGAAAACGATTCGGAGAGTTCAGTATATGCATATTTAATCTTCAGATCACATCATGGCCTGAAAAATGCGTTCAAACATGAAATAAACTATCACCGCTCGGTGTTGATCTCAGTGTCCATTTTTATATGTATATTTACATACGGTCTGTCACTGATATCGAACACTTTTATCTATAAATATAGCACATTTTAAAACTATTTTTTATTATATATATATATATATATATATATATATATATATATATATATATATATATATATAAACTAAATTAAATTTTATCATATATGTGTGTGTGTGTGTTTTACCAATGAATTATCTGTTCTAGACTATCTTCTTTGCCGAAAAGATTCTAGCATATATATGCATGGCCTCTCGCTATTTATATTCGGAAAAATCTCTCAATTGCAAGGAAATTGTTCCTTGAGTCCACAGGTGATTCTTTTATGTGCTTTCGACTTTTGTTATTGCACTTTGATAGCTATGACTTTTTCCTTTATGACTCTCCTTCTCTGGACTGTAATACATTAAGCCAAATTTCTGCCAATATAGAAATCTCTCTCTCTCTCTCTCTCTCTCTCTCTCTCTAAATTCATCTGCGAACATTTTCGTGTTTGGTGATTTTAATGCTCATTACGTCAAATGGCTTAAGCATTCTAATGTTACTGATGTTGCCGGTATTTAGACTTTTAATTTTTCCTTTGCTCAGTTTCTCAGTCACATAGTAAATTTCTCTACTCGTTTCCCTAATAAATCAGATCAACATTTTTATTTACTTGATTTGATCCTTGCCTCCTCTTTTAGCAGTTGTCGAGCATCACAACTCTGTCCTCTTGGCAATTCGGATCACTTTGTAATATCTGTTGATATTTCTTTTGGGTCGTCTATTAGAAAGAAGCCTCCTATTCATAATTCTTCTTTCTGTTACCAGCATGCTGATTGGAATTTATTTCGTGACTTTATTTGAAATGCCCCTTGGATTGATATTCATAATATCCCTACTCAGAATTGTGCCAAAGTGGTTTCTTCTTGAGCAAAAGCCGACATTGATACTTTTGTACCTTCTCACAAATACCACGTGAAACTACAATCTACTCATTGGCTCACACCGGTCTCTTCAGCCGATATAGCTATAATTTTTCCGTGTGTACCAGCGTGATATTTTCAATCAGAACAGATGTCTAATCGTGTCTATTCTCAATAATTATAAACGTGTCCTCAAATAGGCTAAGTCTTTCTTTGCTGATAGAATGTGGCATCATATAGCCTCTAACAAGTTTTATTCATCTCACTACTGGCAGCTCAGTAATAGTATGTTAAATTCTATTCCTCATATCTTTAATCAATTTGAGGTGTTAACATTTTCTGTTGATAAAGCAGAATCCTTTGCTCCTAAATTCTCTTCAAATTCTATTCTTGACTCATCTGGAGTATATTTGTCTGACTTAGAACTGAGTCTCCAGTGAGTAATATGCATAGAACTCCGTCTATGGTTTCTGCTATCATATGTAAAGTGGATCTTCTCAAAGCAATGATAGTATACCTGCAATAAGACTTAAGAAATGTACTTCTGAACTGGATCCTATTCTCACTAAACTTTATAATAAATGCCTTGCTGCTTCTTGCTTTCTTGCTGGTTAGAAATCTTCTTCTGTAGTTTCAATCTTTAAGAACTCAGATCTGATCTTTCTAACTATCGACCTATTAGCTTTCTACCTCTTTTTTCGGAAAAGTACTGGAGACTCTAACTAACTCTGAATTAAGCATCTCAACCCACAGTCTTCTTTCAGATAAGCAATATGGTTTTCGCTTTCTAAGATCAACTGCTGACGTATTCATGATTATTGTTGAAAGAGTCTATTGGGCTGTTGATTTGGATATCTCGAAGGCATTTGACAGGATTTGATATACTGGTCTTCTTCACAAGTTGAAAGATTAAAATATTTCTGGACACATTTTTGAACTGCTTCAGTCGTTTTTAACAAATCGCAAAATAAAATTTCTATTGAATGGGTACACTTCTAGGCATTTTTGCATTAATGTAGATCACTATCCTTGTATCTACGTTGTTACGAATCTTCATAAATGACCTTCCTGCTTTCATCACTTTTCAACTTAGTGTCTATCTTGATGACACAACTATTTACTCTTGTCTAATTAGAAGGTTTGATCGGTTCAATAAGGTCAAATTGGTGACCTACAAACTAAATGAGGTCGTCATAATAATATCTCTGTCCCAACTAGTCGCGACTTCTTTTAAAAAATAGACAAAATTTGGCATCGTGGTGCTATCACATCCCTGAAGAAAAAGGATTATGACGAAGGTTCAGACGTCCTGCAACTACCACCACTGAGGAAAAAAATTGATCGTGTTCACCACATGGTGATGGATGACAGGCGATTGACTGTAAATTAAATAGCCAATGCTAGTAGTATATCCCTTGAGGCAGTTGAGAATGACCTTGGTATGACGAAGGCTTCTGCTTGGTTGGTGCCACATCTTCTGATACCTGATCAAAAGCGCAACAGGCTGATCACATCACGGGAATGTCTGACATTGTCTGAGACTGGATCGTTTCCGTAACGGCACTGTTCGAGCGGGTGTTTACATTCCGTCGTGATGAGTACCTATGTTATAGTGGAACACACCTATTCTATAGTTAATAAACTCTCCCACCTATAATAAGTAGGAGTAGTAAGAGTAACGAGTCAGTCGCGCAGGGGAGTCGCTCAGTCAGTCGATGCCGGACGATCGTTAGTCGGATACTAAAGTATCAGCGACCACAACTAGATTTCTCTGCGTTATACCTATTATATGAAGTTCCTAACGTTTTGTACGTCAAACCTATTTTAGGGCCGACTTAGTACAAATACAAGCCTCCACTGTGAAATCACTCCATATCAACCTATTAGCAGCTGTCGAAAGATGACTAAATTAACAACCGCAGGCAAAAATGGGTAACAAAATCCTAACTATGTAAGAAGCGAAAGCAGAAAGACGACTTTAAGAGAAATTGCAGTAAGAAGTGCATCAAAAAACACTGTACATCGATCCTTGCAGTGTATGGGGCTTCGTAATGGATGATGGATGACAGGAGATTTATTATAATTTAAATAGCAAACACTAGTATCATATCTCTTCAGAGAGTTGACAATATTCTGCACAATGAACTTAGCATGACGAAGGCTTCTGTTCGGTTGGTGCCACATCTTCTGATAAAAAGCGCACCAAACTGATTACATCACATGAAAGTCTGACATTGATTGAGGTATGTGGCACCATGCATAGTTGGCAAGCTGAGAGGAAATATTCATAAATATATGATTTGTTTTTTACGGTTTGTCAACCATTTGATAATTATTTAGGGCTGAAAAATATTTGGGGTTTTAGGAATAATTCTTTCTTTACATTCAAGCGATCTGGGAGAAAGAAAGAGAAAACAGAAGAAAAAGAAAAAAAAATAATACGAAAACAGGTCATAAGCGAGCACACACACGCTCGACTGACACATAACAGATACCGAAAGATATCCAGGTCAAGCACCTGACCTACTTCCGTGTCCACGAAAAATGGAAGTTTGTTATCAAATGGTTGAAGAAACAAAGTTTAGGGACAATGGAAAAAAATATGATAGGTAACAGGTGGGAAGTGTATCTAAGGATATGAAGACAAACCATTAATACGAAAACACAGACAATTTCCAGAATTGAAAAAAAAAGCCACACAAGATGATGTTGGCTGAAAATGTTTTTTGAGATAATGAAGATTTTTGTTATCAAGCTTCGAGGGAAAGAAAAAGTGAAATATTTTTATTCGTTCACGAAAACGCCACCCAGTCTGAGAAATCCCTTTCTTAGGTCATATCCAATTAGCGATAAACTGCTTGACAAATACCACGTGTTAAAAAGCCGAAGGTGTCATCGCAGTCGCTTATGATGAGGGCAATTTAAATTTTTATTTTTTTAAGCAAGGTGTATCTTCCCCCAGAACAAAGCCACGGATTGTCCACGCCCGACTAAAGACGTCATTGGCTAGATGGGGTCACATGACACACGGAGGAGGAGAAAGATACCCGACCAGGACCTCATTGGCCGAGAGCGGTCACGTGACGCACGAGGAGAATCGGTCGACGCCCTTGTCAGAAGTGTAAGTGTGAGGGGCCGATACGAAGAAGCGGGTATACGCCCTCAGAGACACAATAAGGAAGTAGGAGTGAAAGTGAATTACCGAAAATGGAAAATCCCTAACCAGAAATAAGAAGGGTGGATACGTATTTAGAATTATCAAGAAAACCCTGGCGCCGACAGACCCACCCCAGTTTTTGACTGCATCAATAAAAGCGGGACTCCAAACGACAGAAATCAGATCAGCCGCGGACGGCGAGCGGATTGCAGTTTGAGCCGTGAACGACAAGCAGAGATGAGCGCCCAGTGTTGAAACCGCGTCAAGATAGCTAACCAAGATTCACGCACACTTCTGGACTCTTCTTCAACCAAGAACAAGTAGTTTGAAAAGCGACTTAGAATCAGACCACAGAAATAAGTTTTTTTTCGACTTTCGTCCGAGGACACGCCGAAACACAAATTTCTTAGAGAGCAGACAACTGGAAGCCTTAAAGTTGCCTAGTAAAAGCGTCGTGCAACAATCCACAGAACGGGTCGGGGAAGTAGACATAGTCCTATGTACCGAGCAATTAGACATAAAAAGTTTGTTACCTTTTTTCTTGATACGTTGGACCTTGTGAGTTTTTATTTTATTTTTTTTTTTTTTTACATAATTGTGTGTTATCACCCCGTTAGACTCAACTTGCATTACGGCCCCAAGCCCTGTTTGATCTCGTCTGTTCAAGATCAAGTCACAACGTGGGTAGGCAGACCGGAGATCAGTGCAGTTACCCTGGTAACCAGGTGTTGGAGGCGGGTTGAGAACGTCGAGGCTGGTATCAATCTAACCAAAGGGTTAGAACGTCACGTTTGGAGCAGCGAGAGCGAATGAACAGCTGACGCCGCGACAAAAGACGTCACAACTGGTGCTGTCCGTGACCAGGATATCAGAGCCCGGGGAGCACGTGACGTCACAATTGGCGCCGCGAACGGGATCGAACGAAACAGTCGACGCTGCGACCGGGGACGACGTCACAGGTAGATCCAACTGGTTTTCTTGAACGCTTCCTAACCCAATTTGAGTGTTGGGTACATCACTTTGAGCCAGAGACAAATAGACAATCCATGCAGTGGAAACACCCCCTCCTCACCTGCCCACAAAAGGCCAAGCTCAGTTTTGGGGGATGCATATGGCATTGTGTTTATTGACTACCTTCAAAAGGGCCATACCATCAATGGAGAGTACCAACTTGCTGAGACTGTTACGAAAGGCTATCAAGATCAAACGCCCAGGAAAACTGACGAAGTGATCTTGTTTCATCAGAATAATCCTCCAGCACACGTCCTTGGTTTCAATGGCTGCTGTGCGTGACAATAGATTTGAACTGGTTGACTAACCTCCCTATTTTCCTGATTTAACTATCATTTGTTCCCAAACATGAGGAAAAGCAATTGGTTGGGAATCAGTATCGCAGTGTTGATGACGTCATATATGTTGTTGATGATTTTTGGACCAACAGGATAAGCAGTTTTCTTTTAACAGTCAGATGTAAGTTTACCTGGAAAGAAACAATGCAGTTATTAGTAAGAAAAGTTAAAATTAATGCATGCAAGATTTCACAGCTCTAGTCAGCCAACACATCTATCTATCTATCTATCTATCTATCTATCTATCTATCTATCTATCTATCTATCTATCACAATGTCATTCGAATATTGACAAAAAATTCAATTTTCAATACTGATTTTCAAGGCAAGTAAAACCTCCTCAAACTTTGAATCACTTTCAACACTTATTACATTCAAGTTCTTTAAAAATCTCAAATACCAATCTACGGATTGATTTTCCGGCTTTTGTCTGTCTCTTTCTTGCATTATGCAGCAGCTGCAAAAACAATCCTTCTCTTCACTGTCATCCCCCCCCAAAAAAAAACTAAATAAAATAAGGAACCAATAGTACAATGACGAATAAGAAAAAGAAAAATGTATACCAACTTGAAAGGCAAGCAACAGACTTAAAAGATAAAGAATTGATTTGATCAGAACGCATTTTACTTAAGTTAGTCGTTCATACCTTTGTTTTCTGATTTAATCCTTCTGAGTACTTGACACATACAACAACTCCCACTCTTTATTGATTTCCATTATTGTTAAAATAACGACAGCAATTGGCCTTTACGGGTATTATGATACAGGGAGTTTCTGGCTAGCACATTGCTATGATTATTTTCTCTGACAAGAATGGACTTTTATGTAATATCGGTCCTCTTATATGACAGTGAATACAAGAATATCTGGACAAGAGAATTGAGGCAACAGAAAATCGGTTCCACAGAAGGATACTGAGAATACCATGGACTGAACATGTGAACAAGGAAGACGTTTTAAAAGAAATGGACACAAAAAAGACACATACATACAATCAGAAAAAGACAGTTAACATTTCTTCAATATCTACAGAGCCAACCTTTTGTTTATAGTGCAACTATGCTGAGTAGACGTTAGCTACAGTTTCAGATTAACAGAGCATAATCCGAGATTATCAGTAGTTGAATAAGGTAGATGACTTGTGATCTCTTGTTGGATGAGTGATCGCTTGGGAAAACCAGATGGTGCAAGCTTAGAGGTGTGGGTGATGTAGGGATAATGGCTTGAATTGTTAATCGGAGTTCCAATTCCAGTTGGGTTCGTTATATTGACACGCACAAATGCCCTTGGGAAAGATATAAATCCAGCTTTTCTTCCCCAGATATGGGTTAATTAGTAAGACCTATCACTAAACCATTATTATCTCAAAAAATTTTTACAATCTAAAAGTATAATCTTATTTTAATATCTTGCAAACTGTTGATAAGCCGTAGAAAGCGAATCAATAAAAAATATTCTGACTAACGACATTTAGCCAGACTGACAGCTATTGGCTCATAAGAAATGTGTATATCAGGATTGTACGTATATAAGCAGATAAATCATCCTTGAATATTACATAAATGCCACAGATATGGATAAGAAGAAAGATTTGAATGGTTAGTAAAGGAAATATAGCAAATATCTTTATAGCCAAAAAGACTAGGCCGGATCATTTCCGTAACGGTACTGTTTGTGGGGGTGTTCACGTTCAGTCGTGGTGAGTACCCATTAGAAGCTGTCTGAAGAAGACTTAACACCCACAGGCAAAAAATGGGTACTAAAAGCCTAACTATGCGAGAAGTAAGCGTCAACAGAAAGTCACTTTAAGACAAATTGCAGTAAGGAATGCATCAAATAACATCGATCCTTGCTGTGTATGGCGCTATGTAATTGTAGGGCAGTCAAAATAGCCATGTAAACCAATGTTTATCGCCAAAAGAGTATCCAATGAGAATTACTCGTCTCAGAATCGAACCTTGTATTAATGAACGTGTGCAGGTAGTGACACGGATATCGGCATGGCGAGCTGCATTCAAATTTCTTGTTAGTCATTTCGAAAAATGCCATTTGAAACGGCATGAACCCACTTTCCTCCCGTCCCCCAGCTATGGTTTAAATAGTAATGTACACTGGACTTTCTAGTATTCGGTGGCAACCAGTCTAAGCGAAGGAAAACTTTGAATTCTAAACCTAGGAGAAGGCAACGAGAAACCACTCCGCTTTTTCAAGTTTAATTGGTAATTCACATATAATGAAAAATCGATAGAGAATTATAACCGTCTACACCATGAAAAATTATGGCCGCCAAATTCAATATGTTTCCTTTTATCTTGAATAAGGTGGATAACTGATTATGTATTCGTTATTATTCAAGGTAAATAATGGCATCAGTATGATCTTTCAGAAAACAATTAACCGGTGGGCGTAGTGTGATGATTTCGGAAACGTTCTGCTGGCAAACACAGACTCCTATTATTCCTGTGGAAGGTAATTTTTACGTAGCACCTACCTCAGTATCATTGAAGATCAGGTACATCTCTTTTTGACGACATTCTTCCACGATTAGGCATCTTGGCATGGGTTAATAATTAACTTTGGTTGACCATTAACACTGATTGCCTTACTAAAGCTTAACGTTTAGTAAAACGTGTCTTTCAGTGGGACAATGCCCTCTGCCACATTGCACAAGTTGTACGTGAATAGTTTCAAGAACTTGGAGAAATCTTTAGGGTATTACCCTGACTTCCAAACTCTCCAGTTCTTATTTCCATTTGGATGTGTTAAACCAACAAGTTCATTTGGCAAAACCGCTACCATGTAACTTGTAGCAGTTAATGGATTTGCTGTTAACCTGCTGACATCAAGTTCTCGGGGAGAGATTTAGATGTTTTTCGAGTCCATGCCCGGTCGAGTGAAAAGTTGTTTGCAGAAACATGGAGAGCCGAAGATGGCCAAATGTCATCAGTGAATAAGCTGAGGAAATAGTAATGTACGGAGTCCCAGTGACGCTAAAAATGTTATAAGCTTTTGAACTATTTTATCTAGAAATGAAAAATGTATTTTACATGATTTTCGAGATCATTTCGCTGCTATTTTATTTTTCCTTTTAATTTTTTTTAATGATAACAATACAAATAGTTTTATTTGGTTTTTATTCTAGTAAAATGCACAGACAAAATTTATTTACTATCGTAGAAAAGCATTGTTAAAAGTAAGGAAATCTCTTTTTTATTGGAATGATAATTGTTGATAAATCCATTTCACAATTACCATTCTTTAACGAAACGAATCTTTGATTTCTGTTCCCTAATAAACGAATTCCTTGGCGCTGTGTGTGTGTGTGTGTGTGTGTGAATTGATCTTATATTTCTCGTTTCTTTACAAACAATATAACTGATTCACATAAATTGTAGCACTTAAATGATCCACTGTTAACCCCCTGACATTAAATTCTAGGGGAAACATTTAGAAGTATTGTCGGGTCCGTGCCTGGTCGAATGAAAAACTGATTTGCAGAAACATACCTAATCAAGCAGATGGCCAAAATATCATCAGTAAATATAGTGGTGTTGAAAACTTTTCGAACACTAGCTGAAATAATTTTTATCGTTCAAAAGAAAAGATAATGAAACAATAAATTGAAATATTTAAAAGCAAAATAATTTGCAAATTCACTGAAGTTATTCAGTATTTAGTAGTGCATTTATTATTTTTTTACCCTATATCGAAGTGTTTATCAGGTTCAAACACAAGTGAAGAGTCATATTAGTGACCGAATTGTTTCTTAGTCTTCAGCTCTTCGATGGTACTATCGCTGGACAAACTCCGATTCACAATAATCTGCTTTTTTTTCAGCATGAATTAAATCTGCTCTATTACTCTTCCAATCCAGGATTTGGATGTCGTGGTTTTACGGCTATGTCGTCAGTTTCCGTAGTCTTTGCTCAGGAACTGCCCTGATAGAACACGAATTTCCGTAAAAGTGACGGTTCTAGGGTACTTTGATACACCGTTTTGCGTTCAGTTTGACCTCAATTCTAACTTCTTTAGGCAAAATTCGAAGACATTTTGTCACTAATATACGCGCAAAGAGGTAGTGAAAAGTTCTCAGCTCAACAAAGACGACGTTTAAAAATAAAAGTTCGATGTTCTGTATTGGAAATAGAGCATATCTATATAAGGACAGTAATCAATATTGTATAGCAACCGGCAATTCCGCACTTTAAGCGGTCATTTTTTTTTTATCTAAATGAGAAGTTGCTGAAAAGTTATTGGCCCAACCAATAAGTCTTTATGTCCAAATCCTGTTGTTTGGTTATTTGATTAAATTTTTGGAACTTAGTCAGTCTGAGAACTTTTCAGTACCCACGTGTATATATTATCCAAGGAAGGATTAATTAGTCCTTTAACATAGAACTAATGTTTTTATCTTAATTTTTCAGTGACTATTGTGGGAACCCGGAATGTGTGCAAAGTTCAGTGCAATAAAAAAAGACTATGTTGAAAAAATAATACTTTGTAAAATCCGTTTTTAGACTACAGACTTCTTAATGAACCTGCATAGAAACACATACACATACACAAGCATCTCTTCCTCTCATTCTCTCTCTCTTTATCTCTCTCTCTCCACACACACACACACACACACACACATATATATATATAGGATGTACATAAAATTTTACATCATTTTGTCGTCTAATAACATAGCCAATTGTCGTCCAAACGATATCAAATTTTAACAAAATATGTAAAAACTAAGTTGAATGCTTATTTTTTTATTTTTTTCAGGGTGTAGAATGACGTCCCCTAGAAATGAAAATTCATTTTGTGTGTTAGAATTTGCTCGAACACAGTCAAACAAGAGTGTGCAGCGTGCATTTTCGAGAAAATTAAAGAAAAAAATGCGCCAAGTGGAAAGCAGAATTGGACATGGCACAAAAAATTCAAGGAGGAAGGCTGCCTGTGCAGGGTAAAGGGATCCGGACGGCCACTAGTATCGGAAGATATCGTCAGTTAGCTTCGGGAAATATTTGTGCAGACCCAAGAGTGTCTGTAAGAAGGACATCTATGGAAAACCAGAATCCTATTACGACACTTTGGCGTTGGTGAATGTAACGCATGACATGCTACAGCGTGTTTGGCAGGAGCTGGACTACTGATTTGACGTGTTTCTCTCACAGGTGGTTCGCATAATGAAAATTTGTGAAGCTTTGTGAAATCGGTTATAAAATCTACATTCTTTTGAATATCTTGTTCGAATTTTGATAAATAAATCTTTTATTGTTCAACATGAAGCCTATTTAATTT